TAAACAATGAAAATGTGAAAAGCAATATTTATGTAATATAGATTATTAAAATTAAAATGTAATTACAGTATACACAATGTAATATATAACACATTAATAAGCATTATACAACTTAAATTTATAGTTATAATATAATATAATAATACAATATGAGTAAATTTAATAAATGAGAACGTTAACCGTGAAAGGTGAATTCTCAAAACGTGAAATATTTTACGTGAACTTTCAGTTTGCTCGTATATTTGCATGTATTTGACCGGAAAAAACTCCGGTTGGAAAACTATTCTTTTAAATCGTTTGTATTTCGTATGAAGAGTTTTGAAATTCAATTGAAAAGATTTGTGAGTCATTCTATTACTTGTAATTAATTGTTCTTTTTTGGACCATGTATTTAGCCGGAAACAATGACCGGAGGTAAATTAAACAAAGGTTCGGTACGGTATCGTTTGTATTTCGTATGAAGAGTTTTGAAATTCAATTGAAAAGATTTGTGAGTCATTCTATTACTTGTAATTAATTGTTCTTTTTTGGACCATGTATTTAGCCGGAAACAATGACCGGAGGTAAATTAAACAAAGGTTCGGTACGGTATCGTTTGTATTTCGTATGAAGAGTTTTGAAATTCAATTGAAAAGATTTGTGAGTCATTCTATTACTTGTAATTAATTGTTCTTTTTTGGACCATGTATTTAGCCGGAAACAATGACCGGAGGTAAATTAAACAAAGGTTCGGTACGGTATCGTTTGTATTTCGTATGAAAAGTTATGAAGTATCATTAAAAAAGTTTGTGAGTCATCCAGATAATTTTAATTAAATATTAAAAAATCATATATTTGGCCGAAATATCGATCTCAAGCGCTGCTGTGGAAGTACCGTCAGGCACGATCGGTGTATTATCTAGTATTTCAATACTCATGGTTCATTTTCGGGTAATTACGTATAACAAGGCCTTTTTCGAATTTTGATATTTTTTTGCAGCTCTTTTGGTAAAAATATTTATTTTGACTCCGCATTGATAATCAATCGGGGGAGTCCGAAAAATATGCAAGTTATATATTGTTTTAACTTTTTTTTTATTTTTTTTTAAAACATAGACTTTTTTTTGTCAAACATTGCTGTTTTCCTACAATTTAAACAAGTTACTAATCTTTTAATCACATTATGTAACTGCAATATTGAATGACTAGCGGGGGCTGCGTCCCCCGCACCCCCCTCTAAACTAACCTAACCCAACCTATCGTCACATTAATCGTCGGTCATTGTTTATTAAAGTGTTCAATTTCTTTTCTTAATAATTTTTTAATAAACAATGACTAACGGCTAATGTGACGATAAGTTGGGTTAGGTTAGTTTTGAGTGGGAGTGCGGGGGTCGCAGCCCTCCGCTAGTCGTTCGATATTGCAGTTACATAATGTGATTAAAAGTAACTTGTTTAAATTGTGGGAAAGCAGCAAACATTCAACAAGTGAAAAAAAATAAAAAAAAAAGTTAATACAATATATAACTTGCATATTTTTCGGATTCCCCCGATTGATTATCAATATTGGAGTCAAAATAAATATTTTTACCAAAAAAGCTGCAAAAAGATATCAAAATTTGAAAAAGGCCTTCGTATTGTACATAATTGCCCGAAAAAAAACCAGGAATATTGAAATACTAGATAGTACACCGATCGTGCTTGACGGTACTTCCACAGCAGCGCTTGAGATCGATATTTCGGCCAAATATATGATTTTTTAATATTTAATTAAAATTATTTGGATGACTCACAAACCTTTTTAATGATACTTCATAACTTTTCATATGAAATACAAACGATACCATACCGAACCTTTGTTTAATTTACCTCCGGCCATTATTTCCGGCTAAATACATGGTCCAAAAAAGAACAATTAATTACAAGTAATAGAATGACTCACAAATCTTTTCAGTTGCACTTCAAAACTCTTCATACGATTTAAAAGAATAGTTTTCCAACCGGAGTTTTTTCCGGTCAAGTACATACGAATTGCTCGTATATGTTCTTCTTTACATGTAAATTGTGTAAGTTTCCATGAAAATTTTTAAGTATCAAGCGATGTGTTTTAAATGTGAAAAATAATGTAATACTACACTCGCATGTTATATACAAAGTGAGTAGAATTTCTTATAGTGACTAATTTTTATGATTATACGACAATTGGCATTTGATATAAGAATCCTACGTCCATTAAAAATAAACAACGAAAGCCGATTGAAGCGTGATGACGTATAGGCAATGAAAACCGACGAAGTTTGCAATGTTAAGATATGTATGCATCAGAAAGTTAAAGTGTAATATATTATAAATTGTATGCAATAAGTAAAATGTAAAATTATTTTATGTATTTATTACATATATTTTATGTATTATTTTATATGAAATATATATTTTCTGCAAATTTATAATTTTAATATTAATAGAATATTATATCTTTTCATAATTTATCCTAAAGTAATTCCAGACAAGCAGACTACCAAGGGACGTTCTAAAGACATCACTATGTCTTAAAAACATGCTGAAAAAATTCTAAAAATATCCATTGCAAATTGGTGTTGTCTTGAGTATATTATAATATTTGTTTTACTTACAAATTTACGTTAAATTTTCATTTTTTACGAGTTTAGTGAAGGTTTTCATCTTTTACGAATTCATTACAAAATTTTAACTTTTCAAGAGTTCACATTAGGGGAAAAGATTTATGATCGCTACTCTGCTACTGTATTTATGAGACTGCAAGAGCAAGAGCAGACGATAGAATATTACAGTTATAGATGGAAGATTATACTATTCTCTCGGATCCAGATATCACTCGCTTTACTCTCGTAATCGTAAATACCCATATACTCTTGCATAAAGGCATAATGCATAACGCATAAAAAAATTGACTAAACAGAATTCTCACTTTTATTGCCACGATGAAAATGAAGCACTCTGATTGGTCAATTTTCTTATGCGTTGTGCATTATATTTTTATGCAAAAGTGTGCTCCACGCTTTAAGGCCTTCACACATGAAATGATATAACTGCATGTACATAGCATAAAACTGTATGGACCAATGAGCATCGAGTATTGCGCATCAAGCATCAATATGGCGGCTGAATACTTAATGCTCATTGGTCCATACAGTCTTATGCTATGCACATACAGTTATGTCATTTCATGCGTGAGAGCCTTTAGGGTTACCACATCAACGTAAAAAAGACATATAAACGGGCGCCGTGAGACTTCAAATTATAAAACCAACGGCAAATGATGCTTGTTTTCATGCTGGATTGCTTGCTGAATGGAAGTACTCTGATTGGTGCATTTCTCAAGATGGATAGAAATGCACCAATCAAAACAGAGTATTTCCATTCAGCAAACAATCCAGCACGAAAACAAGCACCGTGTGTCGTTAGTTTTAGGGTGCGTTCCCACTTAGCGCGTCAAACGTTGCATCGTCCGTTGCGGACTAATCAAATCGCCCCATTTTATTTGTCGTAAAATTAGGCAATAAAATGGGACGATTTGATTGGTCCGCGACGGACGACATGACGCGTGACGCGCTAAGTGGAGACGCACCCTTACAGTTTGAAGTCTCATTCAGGATAGAGAACCTCTAGTACAGAGTATCGCCAACTTGGTCATTTGACCAGCTACTCAGTTACTCTGCGATTGGCTGGCATAAACATGTACGAATTTGGACATTGCGACGTCGATGCAAAACCATATATATATATAAGCATTTGTTCTGCATTGGCGTCGTAATGTCTAAATCCGTATATATTTATGCCAGTCAATCAGCTGGTCACGTGACCAAGTTGGCGATTCTCTGTGCTAGAGGTTCTCTAATTTTTGGTCTTCAGGGGCACCGCACACGAATTGACATAACAGTAACGTAAGACCTACCATAAAAATGGACCAATTACAATCGAGTATTTACAAAAATAGTGACGTTACGGTTCGACAATACTCAAAGTGATTGATCAATTCTTATGGCTCCTGCACACAGGACGCGGTAATGCTTGCAGCGTGGCGGAAGTTCGCGCGACAGACAATCAATATGATGTTTTCCGTAATAACCTTCTAACTTTTATGGAAAAACAAAATATTGATTGGCTGTCGCGCGGTAAGCATTATTATCCATTATGGCTCCTGCCCACAGGACGCGGCAACACTTGCCACGCGGCGGAAGTTCGTGCAACAGCCAATCAATAAGTTGTTTTTCTGTGAAAGCTATAAGGTTATTACGGGAAGCAGCATATTGATTGGCTGTCGCACGACCTTCCGCCGCGCGGCAAGAGTTGCCGCGTTCTGTGTGCAGGAGCCATTACGGTACGTCTTAGGGTACATTCCCACTTAGCGCGTCACGCGCCGCGTCGTCCGTCGCGGACCAATCAAATCGTCTTATTTTATTGCTTAACTTAACGACGAATAAAATGGGACGATTTGATTGGTCCGCGACTCATGACGCGCTAAGTGGGAACACACCCTTACGTTACTGTTATGTCAATTCGTGTGCGGCACCTGTCTTACACAAATTGATATAACAGTAACGTAAAACGTACCGTAAGAATTGATCAATCATGTTGAGAATCGTCGAACCGTAAGGTCATCATTTTGATGAATAATTCGATCGTAATTGGTCAATTCTTACGGTACATCTTATGTTACTGTTCTGTCAATTTGTATGTGAAATCTCTTGAAGTCAAAATAATATTGGTGTAGTCATTCAACTAAAAACCAAAAATAAATGATTCGTCGACAGCACTTCAATATCGATTGATGAACATTTCTCGTTAGGTATACGCTTGGGGTTTGTTTTTTATTGCTGCACTGGCTGCACTAGTTCTTTCATCTTTCTTCCACCAAATTTTATTTGTATATCTGTCTCTTTTTAAGTTCCAAAAGTGTATACTAAGTCAGCAATAGAAAACAGACTCTTCCCAGATAACATGCATGTCTAAAAGATATCTTTTTGACATCTTTTAGACATGCATGCTATCTGAGTTGGTTTCAATACTGTTTAAACACTTTTTCATATGACAAAAGAGCAATAGCTCCAAGCCAAATTGATTAAAAAGAACACTTTTTTCATTGTAATTCGTAGTACAACCAATGATCCAATAAATCAACTTGTTTCTGATTTCCAAAAATTTAATTTGTTCATAAAATCATTAGCTGCGTTTTGAACTACATCGAAAAAAAGTTCAACGTATTCAATACGTCACCGTATTGAAACTGAAAGCAAGATCGATTTGACGCTACAAACGCTTCATAATGCCATATAGATCAATTATAATTTTTCTTTATATACTGTAAAGTATGCAGGCCAAAACGGGTTCAACTCCGAATGTTTGCAGGCCAAAACGGATCCATCTCTGAGTATGCGATATTGTATTTATGACAAGACATCAATATATTAATGACCATTAATATTTTCTTAACATCGATTTTTTTACATATCCTTTGTACGCGCGTATGTGTAGGTGTATGTGGGCACGTGTGTGTATGTGTGTATAAATAAAAGCAGGTACTAGAAAAAACAGGATTAAAAAAAAAGAGCTGTGAGAAGTTATATATCTTATATAAGGAGATTCCTTAATTAATTTTTCTATATTTACGTTTTTTTTCTTTTTTTACTTCAATTTGTGTTCAAATTGAAACGTATTAATACTGCTTTAAAAAAGAAAAAATTAAAATTTCTTTTAAAAATATCTTAGAAAAATTCGCAGGTTATAAGCAACAATTTTTAAATACATTTCATAGGACGTAAAGCTCAAACTTGAAGATATATACTTGTAGGTATACTATTCGCGACGATGAGCAGTGGCGTAGTTTCACTATCAGCCTCGTTCTGACTGGAGTTGCGAGTATGAACGGGATTTGTATTGGAGAAAACTTGGAGAAAACTTGATCATTTAAATAAACCTTCCATTTACAACAAGAAAAGTGAGTATCATATATATATATATATATATATATATATATATATATATATATATATATATAACAATTCGTGGGAAATTAAATAGATAATGACTGCTCCCTTACTCAAGATCGGTGACTGAGTTTCTCTTAAAACAAGTTCTTACCGATATATTTGTGTTTACAAAATCTTGTCTCGATTGTAAACTATTGGGAAATTTCCTATTTGTTGTCTTATCACTTTCCTCGCAACGCGCACATTCACGCATGTAATAGGTAACATAAAGACAGTATATAAATAGATAATTATGAAGATGTCGAGTTAAATATATGATTACGATTACGAGCGAATTAGTCTATTCTAACTTAAAGATCAAAGCAAACGATATTTTAACGGGGAAATGTAAAAAGGAAAGATACGACGATTTTTCATCTTCACTCTGGTAGCAGAAAGCAGCGGCCCTTCTGAAATACAGTTTCAAAGATGCAGGAGAGTGACTGCGTGCTTCCTGGTACAAGAAGATCGATAGAATACATGCGCGCTTGGCCACGCTGTGACGCGCACAAGTAGTCTTCTAAAACGCAACGCGAGTTGTTGCACGCATATGTACGAGCAAACATTCGTTCGCAGATTTGTGCGTTTCTCGGCGCGAAAGTGAGCATTATCGAGGCGCGACACGAATCATCGAGTCATCTGGTGTTCGCGCGACACGCGTAATTTTCTTCTCGAGCTTAGCACTGACAGAACCGTCGCCCGTCGCGCCAGAATTAATTCTTACTCACCCACCTACCCCACATAGTGACCTAGAAAAGCTAAACTTCACAGTTCGCCGTCGTCGTTACTCCCCCGCTAGTTAGCAGCCCCGGTAAGTCGATTCTTTCAGCTTATTCACTGAAATAGAATTCAAATAAGGGGATCTCTAATACTTAATACTAATCTAAGCAGAAAATATCCGTCACGCGAGCGTACACGCGCACAATTCGAGAATGTGAGCTTTGAAGAACGCTTTTCTCTCGATTTGGCAGCTGATTACTATGGCTGATGACTCCATCAGAGCACCACACTGGCTGACTAACCAATGACGCTAATTACGTTAACGCACGACGCTCGTAATCTCTATTTATAGGCGTGAAATAACATTATGCCCGCAGCGTTTCCTACACTCTATCTTTTAACATTTTAACATGCACTAGCGCCTATGTTCCGTACGTATTACACGTTTCGTGTGTTTTCGAGAACATAAAGGCGAATAAACTTTATCATATTTGTTGTTGCGTAGATACTTGAAACATTTTGTGATGAAACAATTGTGAAAAAACACGATAGAATTATTATTGGATATGATAATTTAAACGAATGACTTGAGAAATACATTATATTAAACAATCGATCACATTAAAGAAAATGTCTGATGATACTAACCAGAATTCTATTCAGGTTTACCAAACGGTTTGGTGAATAATCGTGTAACAAGATATTTAATCAATGATACCAAACTATCTGATGAACGCATTGTCTAAGTAGCATTACAGTAATGCTTAAATATGTTTCCCAAACCATCTGGTACAGCATATAATTCATTTGGTGAATGTTATATATGTACAGTTATATATATATATATATATATATATATATATATATATATATATAATTTGTTAATATGTACTTACTGCATATAATCTTCATATACTTCTAAATTTTTTTGTCGACATTCAAGAAATTCCATTCTTCCAAATATATAACGGTTTCAGCGTCCATTCTTTTATAGCACCGACGTCTTTACAAATTAGTATATATAAAAAAGGAAACGTCGCAGCGAGTAACAATTTACTATCGCGTCTATAGTACTATACGTCTAGAGAGAATTACCAAACTGTCTAGATGCCTACAACTAAATGTCTCGGTATCGACTATCAAATGCGTTGAGGCATCGTAATCAGAATATTAGATATGTAAACCAGATATCGTATATAAATTCATCATATTACTTTCATAAGACGAGTATAGATTCATTCACCAAACCATTTCTCTCAGCGCATGTAATGACAGATTCGACCGCGCGTGTCTCAAGCTTGTAATGAAATACAAACCTTATATCCGATATGCCCGATATCCTTGAATCTATTTTTTTCTAATAACGCTACACTTTTCAAATAATCATTTCAAAGTCTGATTGTTGTTTGAGTAAACTGTTTTTTCTTTTTTTTTTAATCATCAAGTCTATCACAGATATTCTCTCGGTCGATTAAGAACATACAAAATATCGGCACGTACTTTAAGCCTGTAGTTATCGTTTGCAACTTTAATTTCATGTCAATCATGTAAATTCGATCATTGCATAAGATAGAAATAACGGTAAATAATAATTAATAGAAATAAGTAACAATTGGACGTCACGTTACTGCCTCTTATCATGCTTCTGTTACATAAAAAATAAGATAAGTTGTCGATTTGGCTTTTGGCCTAACGTATTATCGATGATTAAGACACGTGGAATGTTTTAATTAAATTTGCGATATATATTAGATAAACAATACCATTATATGCATGAGTGATGACAAAAGGAAAAGGAAGGAGAGAGAAGAAGATATGATGTTTTTGATAAAGTTAATAAATTTTCATACATGTACAATTTAATCACGGTAGCTTTCGCAAAAAATATAAAAGACTATAGGTATAACAAGTAAAACTACCATTCAATGTCACGAACGTCGATACGTCGTTGCTAGTACATGTAAAGAAATTTATGTATTACGAATGAAGACGCAACAGTTGGCGATAGGCACATCGATTTCACCTGACATCCAGCGAGAAAGGAAAGAAATACTATAGATTTTTGCGTGCAATGAAAACAACTTCTTATTCAAAGAGTAATTACGTCGCGAATGTTAAGAGATACAATTTAACATTGAAATTGATGTAATTTGTAGTTTAACACTTTGATTGCTATGAAGATCACCGGTGCATCTCAATAAGAAATTACTATGCACAATGATACATTGTCATTTTATCATATGGATGATAGACATATGCCTACATACCACATAACACATGACATGACACATGCATACAAGAAAAAAGTATTCTTGTTTTGAAAATATTTTTATTTTTAACATTTAAATTTTAAAATAAGATTACATAGCATTAAATAAAGATTAGTTATTTGCATTAATATATTTTATATGATTTAACAAAGAAAAATATATTCTTATTATTCAAAAATAATTTTTATAAATAGATTTTTATAAATAGATTTTTAAGTATATGATGTGTTTCTAAATATTGAAAAAAAATATTATTATCGTAAAAATAATTATATAATATAATTTTATGAGACTATTATAATATTCAAATAAAATTATTGTTGGAATTCTAAATTTTTCTAACAAAATTATATATCGTTGGTTATACATAATACTGATCTTTTTTTCCGTGTATATATTTTGCGTTGTAGTCTTTTATAAAAGTAATAATAAAAATAAAAATCACTTGTATAAAAGTGATAATAAAAATTCTATCGTGTTATAAGTGATAAAACGTGTAGAAATTGCTAAACAGTCAACGAGTTCATTTAAGAAAGTTATAAGGCAAAATAAGTTTGTTAAAAATTCATTACAGCACTAAATATTTATAAAATATTTACAAAATATTTATAAGATTTATTTGAATATTTTATAAATATTTACCAAAATATTTCATAAATATTTTTATGACCTTAATTTCAATAGATCATAAATATTTATCATAAATATTATAAAAATATTTATTAAAATGTATATATTTATATACTTTTTTCTGAACTTTTTAAAAACTTTTTAAATATATATGTTCTTAGTTTTCACTTTATATTGTTTCACGCGTTACTTAATTCAAGTTAAAATTATACTTCGAAAATTTGCTTATCATTGCCGAGATTCGAACCTAAAATCTTTGGTTCTTGAGTCGTTCACCTTACCTACTGCACCACTGTCACTTTGACCGAAATACGTTTTATATTATATACAAATATATCCATGTACGAAAACAAATGATTTATTTAAAAGAAGAGAATAAATCCTTTTAAATGTAAAATGTATGTTTAAAAAGTATGTAGAAAGTATATTTAAAAAATATTTACTTGTTTTAAAAGTAAATAAAATACAAATAAATCATTTTGTAAATTTAAATAAATTTTGATGATTTATTTTGATAATAAAATAAACTTTAATTTGAAACACGAAAAAGATAATTTTAATATTAGAAAATAATTTATTTAGTTTTATAAAAATGATTAACTTGTATTTGATGTACTTTTAAAACAAACAAATATTTATATAAACATAGTTTTTACATAAAAAAAAACATTTTCTTCCTGTAAGAAAATCATTTTTTTTCTATTCATAATTTTACAGCTTATTTTACATATTTATAATAAAATATTACTTTATATTTATTACATATTTTCTAAAATCTAACAAATATTTCTTTAAGTTAAGAAATTATATTTAATAAAATATATTTCTTTGATTTAAAAAATTTTTTTCTGTATATATTACTGTATATAATTTAAATTTCGACCTTCTTATTTCTTCATTAATTTAATAATTTTAAATAATTACATTTATTTTTATTTTTTATGTATACTATTTATAAAAATATTTACAAAATATTACTACAAATATTTATTTTTTGTTTACTATAAATATTGTATAAAATATTTAGTCTATATTTTAATAATATTTTAAATAAAGATTTTGATACTTTATGTATAGAAATATTTATGAAATATTTATATATTTTTAAAAAGTAATTTGACATAAATATTTATGGATCTTTATCATAAATATTGTGTGTTGTCTAGGTAAATAAGTTAAACTTTTAAATAAGTTAAATAAGTTAAATAAGTTTAACTTTTAAATAAGTTTGTTAAAAATTCATTGAATCTTACACTACATACACACACGATTTAAAGTTGAAACATAAGACGTCTTTAAGATATCTTTAAGTCATCTTTAAGACGTCAGAATATAAGATGCCTTGAAAACGTCTTGCCCCGATTTTGGACATTGTGTTGTGAAATAAATTGAAATATTGCTTAATTGCTCATGCAATTAAAAAAAAAAAATTGATTATTCGAGAGTTGAGGTATATATATATTTGAAACCAGAGTTGACATGTGTTCTTATACGTATTCTTTGAGGTTAGCGTAATAATTTTAAGTGATGAGAGCCATACGCTACCCTTACAGAAATATCATACTGAGAATCATTGATTAATTACTTATTTTCAGTATTAAAAGTACAGTGTTTAGTAATATTCTGTGATTCAAATACAGTTCTTAGTGCTTAAGTATTTCAGTGTTTATTGTTACAAATACTACCTTATGATTGATTTCAATACTTAAATATTGATATGTAATACTTCGTCCAGTGATAAAATACTTTCGCAGAGCATTGTCAATATTTAAATACTAATATATAATACTTTCCTAAGTGATGAAATAATTACGCAAAATACTGTCAAGATTTAAAGTATTAATTCAGACAGCACACAATATTAATAATAAATATTTATAAATATTCATTTCGAATTATTTTTTTAAAATATTATATAAATATTTTATAAATATTTTTTTATATACATAAAAAAAGAAAAGTATCAAAATCTTTTTTCAAAATATTATTAAAATATAGACTAAAAATTTTATACAATATCTATGGTAAACAAAAAATAAATATTAATAATAATATTTTGTAAATATTTCAGTAAATATTACACATGAAAAAAATAAATATAGTTATTTATAATTATATTTATATTACTTTTTAAAACATATATTTTAAAAGAATCTATTCTCTTCTTTTAAATAAATCATATGCTTTCGTATATGGATATACCATATGTACACGATATAAAGCGTCTCTCAATCAAAGTGACGTAGGTAAGGTAAACGACACAAGAATCAGCCCAAGTAACAGACTCACGTCAAAATGACGTAAAAAACTGGTCATAACTGGTCGAATGACGTCAAGTGACTAAATAACGACGTCTTTAAAATGTCTTTTTTGTGACATCTTAATGACGTTTCTGCATAACGTCTTAAAAACGTATTATTGACGTTTAGAGACGTCATAAAACGTCATTAAGTCGTCTAAAATGTCGCCATCGATCTGTGACATTAGACTATTATTTTGACGATATTTTCACGATATTTTTGATCATTCCTTGGTTATTTTTGATCCTGAACTTACTTAGATTTGGGTGTCATTTTGACATCCCTTATAGAAATATCATAATAAGAATTATTGATAATTACTTATTTTCAGTATTAAAAATACTGGATAATAAGTAATTATCAATGATTCTTAGTATGATATTTCTATAAGGGTACTGATATCAAGTACTAGTAATTACGTTCATTAAAAGGATAGATTACCGCACGGATAAAATTTTATAAATAAAAAATAATGAAAAAAGTATACATAAAATATTCAACTTATGTACGGGATATTACACCAACATATAAAGCAATATAATGGTTTGTGCCTATTTTTCAGGGGACACATGGTTAAACGCGGTTCAGTAGATAACAACGACATATACAGAGTGTCCCATTTTAAATGCCCCAGGCAA